TCTCTCTCTCTCTCTCTCTCTCTCTCTCTCTCTCTCTCTCTCTCTCTCTCTCTCTCTCTCTCTCTCTCTCTCTCTCTCCCCCAATCTGACTTGCATGAAGGAAAAGTTGTCTCCTTTTTTTTTTTAATAAAAAAGAAGAAAACTTAGAAAAGTACATTATGGTTCTGGCTCGATATCCATTCTGGGGAGCGTATGTGAGGTTCCTATTCCACCGGCAAGTCATCTGGAATACAACTAGTACACACTCCAACGCTTCTCCCCATTATGGCCAAGAGACCCGAGTGCGCAGCATTGATTGCTTCCGTTTGGAAGGATGTACCACCCCTCACTCTTGCCTAAGTTAGCCAAATGAGCTACTCTTCGGTCCTGCTTTTGGCTATCCTCTCCTCCTTGTCTATGTTGAAGCTGTAAGTAAAGGCTTCTCTCAGCCGTTGCCTGCAGTCTGGGTACTCTGATCCTGGGATGGGCTGAATCCAATTGCGCTTGCTGTAGTTCTGTGACCTTCAACGTTTTCTGCTCCCGTTTCCTGAGCCTCCTAACCAGCTCTTTCTGTTGTCTTCAATGTCATACTGTTAAGACTAGTTGTATCCTAGATCCTTGAACCCACTAGTCTTTTGTCTATGACTTGTTCTTGCTCCTCTCAGCTACTCGGCCGTCAGATCTGCATGGTGAGCTAGAGCTGTGCTTGTTTTTCCTTGAATTTTCCTCCTCGCAGTCAATAGTGGGTTGGTTAGTCAGAATCTCTCAGGTGGTGCAAGGCCGTCTGTAGGAGATGTTGAGGGTTTTCAGGTACCGAGTGGAGGATGAGGTTGTTGCTCTGTGTCATGATCCTGGCTATCTTGCAGTGCAACAACTCACAGGAAGACAATGTCGTTCAATTGCAACGGAAATGAAATAACTTGGGAACAGAAATAGACAAAGGAAGCAGATGATGAAGATAAACACCAGCAAGTATCAATGTTGATTCCCCTTCTCTCTCCACCTTCAACCTCCAATAACTACCCCAACTTCTTTGTCAGAATAATAATAATAATAACAATGAAACTTATGAAAGTATGAACCAGAACCAATGTCCGAATCCTCGCCTTACTGCCAGCCACTCAAGAGGTCCACCATAGCCATCTCGTACATCTTTCTCCTACTTGGTCACACAGGTGGCTATGGTGGACTATTGGAGTGAAGCTCCGGTGTTCAAAGGACAGCGAAAAGCTACTGTGTCCCTCCTACCATGGCCGCCGTGCCTTGCACTAGCAGCAGAGTCTTCCTTGTAGATGTCAACCCCAACTGGGGCCTTCAAGATGCAGTGCCAACCAAGAAGATGAAGATGCAGACCACCATAGCCAGGTAAGTCCCCCCGTCACTCGCCTCCTTGCTCACCATCTTCCTCCTCCTCCTCCTCCTCCCCCGGAGTCTCCCCTTGGTCCTCCCCACCAGAGCGAAGGTGGAAGGCCAAGGCCACCTTCTTCCTTATCTAACGCTGCTTCAGCTGGGTGCCCGCTCCGGCATCGTGCCTCCAAACTCCACGCGAGCAAATGAGGAAGAGCTCTTCGCTGCTTCCCTTCATATACCGGACTAGTGCCTCTTCACACGGTCAGTTCCAGGCTGTGCGGCCTCCACGTCTACCCGGTACTTCCCACTTTCTGAGGGAAACATCACTGCAGTCTGATATCCCCTCCTGCAGGCTCTAGACTCGAACCACTTGGACAGGTGCGTTTTTCTCTCAGCCTACCACACTCCAATTTCTACTCTGGTCTCCCATGGTACTAACTTTTTGTCTTCTTCTGATACCTACCTCCTACTTGAGTGTTTTGTCCTTCGTGGGCCTTTCCTATGCTACTACCTTGCTGCGCCCTCACAACGACACGGCCACAGACAAGTACCAGACCCGTGGGCTCTCCAGCACACACATCCCCAGTGGGTCACACACACACACCCATGCAATCATGTAGACAGGAAAACACAAGGGAACTCAGCAGTCATGCACACACATAAACTTACTAATCTCAGCAGTATACGGGAATTTCAGCAAGTCAGTCAATCAGGCGTCGAAACTTGGAAAACAGCAGGTTTCTCAGTCTGAGATTTTCCAGGTCATTACATCACCCCTCCCTCAAGTAACGAGGTCTCTCCGAGCGACTAGACTCATAAGAGTCCCTGCAAAATGCATCATAAGCTGTGAATGCAAAGAGCGCTGCTGTCGATTCATCGGCAATGAGACGGTCAGTGAATGTGTCAATTCAGAAGCAGTATGACGTTCATAGGCATTAACTGCACGGGGTATAGTTTTGAGTATAACTTTCTGCAATGAACCCAGATCGTGAAGACACTTGTCAACAATGCAAGCCCAGATGAATATAAACCTGCCGATGATTATGAATAATCAGAATCGTATCCAGATAGAATGAGATGGGAGAATCATACACAGACGAAAAGAGGGAGGAGGGAGAACAGACTTAGAGCGTGGGGAGACAATGCCCACTTCTGCTTCGGGCTTCCTCCTCGATCACCACCTCAAATAATCAATAGTCTGAACGTACATCTGAAGTTCTACTACAATGTGCCACGTGGCACGTCAATCAGTCCTCATCAACGCACTCGAGCAATGTCAAGATGACCAGGTATGTGTCCACAATTACCCCACGTCAGCAACAGTACATGTGGCAGCGGCCATGTCAGCAGCAACGTGTGGCAGCTGCCACGTCAGCATGCCCAGAAGACAATAGCAAGCCAGCCACCATGCTGAGCCAGCATCGCATCGCCGAAATCACCCAAGTGCCAGCACAAAGCCAGCGTCCAACCAGCGTCGCAGCGTTGAGCCAGCGTCGTCGTCAACGCGTGAAGTCAGCATTGATGCAAGACTGAATGAATGTCAAAGTCAGGAAGTCAGCGCTTATGTAGCATTGACGCGGGGTCTGGACCCCGGATGCTGCATCCCTCAGCCGTGCAATAACCCATGTCATATGTCATCTGAGGGCCGAACGAGACAACCCTCAGTCCAGGCCCCATAAGGGGGCAAAGGCCCTAAGTCTGCTACATGGCCTGGACGCCAGGCAGTTGACCGTAGTCAACTGCCGGATTTCCAAAGGTCAAAATCAATGTGTACCCAGCCCAGGCTGCCGGTCAAGCACACACACTTGTTTGTATGCAGGTACCCGGACAGCTTCCAAGCCAAGTGGAAAACTGCAACTGTACGCGATCCAGA